ACTAGCATCGCTGCTGATGGAACTATCACTACTATCACTATCGATATCACTTTTATTTTTTTTATGTTTATATCGTTTTTCTTTCAATTTTCTTTTTTCTGCTTTTTTAGTCCTCTTTTCAAGTTGTTGTAATTTCCTATAAATGTTAACATTATTAATTAATCTTAATTATTCTGAAATTACTATGTTATAAATATTATTTAAATATTTAACATACATTAATAATTTCTTTTTTTGCTTTTTAGAAAGTGTTTTTAGGAATGTAATTTCAGATTGTTCTTCATCATCTGAAACCATAAGATGTTCATGTTCAGGAACTCTTAGATGTTGTTGAGCACTAAGAGCTGATCTATAATAGAATTAAACATATTAGAAGAAAATTTTCATTAAAATTAAAATCAGAAAAAAATTTTTAGATTTATCTTTACTTTTTAAGTGCTAATCCATCTTCTCTCATTTGTTGAACTAGCGTTAAAGCATCTGGAGTAGATGTAGCTGGTGAATTATTTGCCATTACTACACTCATTGCCTGACTATATAGAGGACATTCTTTATCTGCAATTAATTAAAATATATATTACTGAATAATTAATTTCTTATATTTAATTTTATTCTTTTCTAATATTATATTATTTCATATTAACCTGTATTTATATGTCCCCATTTATGACATTTGATACAACGGACATTACGTACTTGAATACCAAATGGTTGATCTCTTATTTCACTGTCTCCTTTACAATAACTTTCTCTTGGTGCATTATACTTGCGTTGCCATTCAAATTTATATTCTGGTTCATTGTCTTCTTTTTCTCTTTCTTTTTTTGCTCCAGGTGGTGGTTCATACATAAAATTTACACTAAGTTTATCCTTGCTTTCTTTACTCAATAAAGCTCTACAAAAAATAAAGTAATAAAAAATATAAAAAAAAATATTTATTAAAGAAATTAAATTAAAAGAATATGATTTTACTTATTATTATGAAGATCTTGTTCTTTTTCATATTGAACACGTAATTCCTCTTGTTTTTTCTTATAAGCCTCTGCTTGTTGTTCAGCCATCCATACCTTAAAAAATAATATAAAAAATATAAATTTAATTATTATATAAATAACAAATAACCTAAAAAATTGAGAAAACATACTCGTTTTAAATTGTCTCGAGATGCTGGATGAAAAAATTTTTTGCACATGTAATTATTAAATCCCTTTCCCATTTTATATAATTAAATAAATACGTTTTAATATTCAATTAATTAACATTAATGTTTGTAATAAATCAATAATGAAATAAACGTATACAATTCGATCATGTAATTTTCACTACCAAACAGTGTTGTCGGACGAACACGGTATGTTACTCCCTCTACAAAAAGTAGCAACAAATTTTCATAGGCGAAGAATGACGTCGGTTATCGCCATTACTATTGTTAAATTAAGCAGAGACACGTCATATATATGACAAGATGCAACAGGTGATATTTAGTTTGTAATGCTGAGATTTCGCCACAGCTGTGGATTATTAATTCTAAATTAAATATTTGCAAATATTTTAAAATATCTTTTTTATGAAAATATATACAAAATATATACAATATTCATGAAATATAAAAAAAATAAACAATGAAAAATTGAAAAATTAAATAATTTATTATAAAAATACATGATATAATATGTAAATAATTTAAATATAAGCTTAAATAATGAAATATGAATATATAAATGAATACAAATATATAAAAATTTATAATATATACAATATATTATATTACAATATGTATAAATTTATAAATTTATTTTGTAATAGTCACTTTGTTTGCTGTCATTTATATCATTCTAATCAAAAAGTAAAATCCTAGTTCAGTTTTCTAATATTATTCATATTTATTTATTACTTATATTTTTAAATATATTAAAATTAAATAATTCTAACATTTTTATTTTTTTTATATGTATAATAATTTTTATTTATTTTAAAATTTTAGTAATTAAATTTGTAATTATATTTATAATTTTTAATTCTAAATTTTTATTTGTATTATAATTGAAAAATATCTTTCTGTTTGAAAATCAATTTCACTTTTAGATTCTTAATTATATTAATTTTATTTTAAAATTTACTTATGTTTAATTATAATGATTTCTTTTTAATTGAAAAAATAAATTGGCAATATCTATCATTCATTCAACATCTAAGATTTATAAAATTTTCTTTTATATTTATTATATATATCTGTTGTATTTGTTTAATTATTTAATTATTCATATATATTACAAATATATTTTTCAATGATAATTACATTTCTGTAAAACATTTATATAAATTTTCTACAAAATTATTTAGAATCAAATAAATTTATACTTTCATTGATATATTTCATTAATATATCATATCAAAATATTAAATTTTTGATCAATATTCTCATATATTTAAAAAATATTTATTTTATAACATTTCTATTTTTTTTAATATAATAGATTTATTAATAATATATTATATAACTATTATTTTTGTTTTTTTCAAAAACATTTTTTTTATTGTATTTTTTATTGTAAACTATATTATTTTACATACTTCAAAATATTAAATGAATAAAAACTTTTATCTCAATAATATTCAGATAAATAGCTTAGCTCTGTTTCTTTTACATTTTTTATGAGAGATTGATTTTCATTGCAGAAGTTGTTGGCTTTTTTCTTCTTCTGCATTTTTACAATAAAATTTATATTATGATTGAATTAAATTTTTATGTTTTTCTTTTATTTCATTTATTTATCATTATTAGTTATTTCCTATTATAATAATTTTATATTTTTCATTTCATCTTGTATGAGTCATTGTTGTATTTTTCAAATCAAGATTTCAAATCTGAATCCTCCAATTAATTGTTTCTTTTTTTTTCTTGTAAAAGAAGAAGAAAACATACTGTTATTGCTACTATCATTATTATTTATAAAATAGCTATATTATTATATATGATAAATTTTAAACAATTTTTTAAATTATATTAATGTAAAAATATTAAATATTTGTCTTATTTGAATCTTTATTCGTTTCGAAATTGTAAAGTATTAGAATAGCAATAAAATTTAAAAAAAAATCAACACATTACAAAACTATAAATTGCATCCCGATAAAAATGGCTTGACGGCTTGACAAGGTTAAGTTTTAACCAGATTTCTATCAAAATTGCATCACGTCCGCATAATCTAATATTAGTAATAGAGAAATGTGATATCAAATTTTATAGGAAGAGTAGATAAGAAACGAAGTTGTGAAAATATAAATAGTTAACAGTTGATAGTTTGTATTGCCAATTTCTCTCTATTACTTAATCTTTCAGTATACAAAGTGTGACGTCAAATTCTACGCGCGTAATAGTTTTTTCAGTCAAAGAAAGTTAGTATAATAATAGATATTATAATTTTATGTCAAACATTTTATAACATACAGATATATCTTATAAATATAATATAAATATATTATTGTCAGAAAAGATAATAGCTTATGTGTTATTACAGATTGGTGAAAAAGTGTTCTATAAAAAAGAGTGTTATCATAATATAGTGCTAGATAGTATTATAAACATTACAGATTTTTATCATATATAGAGTTAGAAATATATTAATTGAAAATTTTTATTTATTTTGACATATAAGATTATTTCAGTTTAATATAAAAATTCAAGAGGGAAAAAAAAATACTAAAATATATTACTTAAGAAAGATATTACATAAAATTAATCAAATTTATTTGTGATAGTGAATTTTAGAGTTAATTTGTCCTATTAGAAATACAATTTCAAATGCAATGAAAATAAACGAGAAAAACATGGTAGCTTTTGCAACTTCGGCAACACCAGTGGATCGTGAAGGCTGGTTATACAAACGTGGTGAATTGAATCGTGGTTATCAAAAAAGATGGTTTGTTCTCAAAGGAAATATATTATTTTATTTCGATCGACGCGGTGACAAAGAACCAGTTGGTATGATAGTTCTTGAAGGTTGTACTATTGAATTGGCAGAAGATGAGGAACAATTTGGTTTTCAAATTGTATTTCATGGTCCAAATAATAGAAATTATGCTCTTGCAGCAGAATCTCAAGTAAAGATATTTTTTAATTCTAAAATATTAATTATTAATTCTAGAATAATGACAATACACAGGATAGATATATAATTAATTTTTAGGAATCTATGGAGCAATGGATGAAAGCTTTAGCATGTGCAAGCTATGATTATATGAAGTTAATGGTAGCAGATTTACAAAGACAATTGGATGCTGCAGAAGAAGAAACAACAATGGTGGTAGCTCCTTCACAATCTCCTAAAGCTCCACCAAGGCAACGACATAATCCTTTTAATAGATCAGAATTTCATCATCGTTCACAGAGTGTTAGATCTGCTCCTGGAAGAACAGAAAATGTTCCAAGAACAAGGATAACATTCCGTGAATTGCATAATATGTATGGTAGAAGAATTTTAGCTGATTTAAATGAATGGAGACACACAAGGAAAGCTGCTGAAGCTCCCTTGATCAGTTTTTAATGATGCATTTCATATAAATTGTAAATATTTAATTCAATATAAGATTATAAAGTAGTCGATAAAAGAAATATATTAAGTTCGTAAATTTGTCTCATCTATATATTTAAAAATCATAATAAATGAAAAAATAAAAAATTTTCATCACAACTTTTCACTAATTTCCATTAAAAAATAAAATGCTATATTTGATTCTAGATATTAATATATAATTTTTAATGGTGCTATTTGATATTTTACTTTAAGATCTCATTATATTTCTTCCATCGACTATATGCATATTAAATATTATTGGAATGTATCATTTATTTTTATAAGACCAAAATATTTACAATCAATATACAACAAAATATAATTATAAATTTTAATCATTATTAGAATATTACAAATTATTGCTGTCTCAAATAGAAACTGTGCCTGTAAAACACAATACATTCATTATTGTTAAATTAAATTATATTGAAAACTAATTCATATATTGTAACATGATTCACATAATTGTGAAATGTAAAATGAATTAAAATTATATTGAAACAATAATTCCTAAGTATCATAAATAAATATCATATATCTGATAAAAAATACTATTTACAAAACTATTTAAAACATCAAATTTGAATTAAAAAAAAGAATTTGGACAATTTGGATGAAAAATATCCAGTAAATTAATAATAGTTTGAAATAATAAATAAAAGATAATAAAATTTTAAATAATTAAAAATTGTACAAAAAACAGCACTGATTTAATAAAAAAAATACTTAACATTACACTAACAATTTTCTTATTAGATATTTTATTAGAATAAATATTGACATTTTGCATATTTGTGTAAATAATATATTCAAGTACAAATTTAAAAGATTATTTAAATTTAAAGACACCTTTTTTTTTCACATCACCCGGTAGATGTCTAGCACCTAGTAAGAGTCGAGCTTTATCTTCTTCTTGTGGAGCGGATTCTTCTTGCGGGCCTCGTGGCTTAATTTGTAATTTTTGTTTAATAGCTTGACTTAATATTACACGTCTAGAATCGCTTTTCATAGCTAAAAGAAGATCAAGCCATGTCCAAGTAACATTATGATATTCTAATGTTGGTATTACCAGAGCAAAATCACGAACATCTTCTAAATTTTTTTCTTTATTTCCCTGTATAAGAGATTATGCATGATGTATAAACATATAAAAAAAAAAAATAATTTTATATATAGCAGATAATTTCTAATTCTGATTGCTTCAAAGAAATAGAAATATAATAATTTATTTATAAAATTTTAATGTAAATACCTTGTAAGAAACACGAACGGGTACTTCAGGTATTTTAATATATATAAATAATTTATTTTTGTCCGCTCGTTCTTTCATTTTTTCTACATCATCTCTTCTTTCGATTGGAACATAAAAAGAGGAATCTCGTTGCGGTGCTGGTGGTTCCTCTATTCCTTCTGGATCTCTTTCAGGAAAACAGAATTTGAGCATCGTATTGAAAAACTTTTTTGTTAATCCTAATAATAAAAGATTTGATTAATTTTTGGAAAAAATATATGTTTCTTTTTTGTGAAAAAATAAAAGAAAGAAAAAAATATATAATAATAAATACCTATTGTTAATGGAACAACATTGATTTCGAAATGTTCTTTTACAGATATTCCAGCAACTGGTGCTTTTTCTCTACAGAAAACACGAAGAGCTCTTTGTCTATCGACAGGCATATTACTTTGTAATTCTGTCGGTGTCAACACTTCCGTGTAAATTTGATTTGGTAGTAAATTAGTCATCCTAACATATCCTAATTCAAGAAGATGTTCAACTGAATCATCAGTTTTACTTGTTTTAGTATATAAGAAATTAGTTAATATAAGATCAGCAATTCCCAATTGACCATCTGCATCAGTTAATCTCCACTGAGCATGTTTGAAGCAAATTTCTGCTACTCTTGCGACTGCTGCTGGTTTATCTTTCAGTGTAGTAGAAGCTGTAGTTGGAGTAGTTGTTTCTTTATAACAACTTAACATAACATCAAGTTCTTCCGCTTTTGCTCCAAGTTGTTCTTTACATTCGAAAACTCTAACTTCCAATCGTTCCATTTCTGCTAGCAATTCGGGACTAGATTCTTCTGCTAGTGCTTTTTGTACTAAATAAGTCTCACGTTCCAATCTCCTTAATTTTGCTACTAAACCACGTACAGTATTTTGTAATTGTTGAATTGGCCGTTTTTGATCTTCGACCGAATGTAACTGCAATTGAAATCTCATTCTTTGCAAACGTTCTGATGCTTCTTTTCTCCTTGGTTCGACATATAAAAGTAAATTGTTAACGATATCTAAAATCATAGCATACTGCAACGAATTCGTACAGACATCTAAGTCATGATGCATCAATGTAAATGCATCAGCTGCTAAAAGTTCTTTTCTTTCCCATGGACTGACTTCTTCTCTAGGTGGTGGTGGAATTTGATCAACAGAGCCAACGTCTAAAGCTTGTCCATAACCAACATAAAAGAATTCACATTTACATCTCGAGACAATACGTTGTAGCTGATGTTGAGGCCCACCACCACCGCCAACTGTCTGACTTACTACGCCACCGACACTTTGTCCTGAACCTACTAGTGCTGGTACATCTGGTAAGCCAGCTATTACAGTTGAATCTTTTTCCTAGTTTAATATACAAGCTTTAGTCAATATCGAAAATTTTATTTACAATTTATTTACAATTTAATTAATTTTACAATTTATTTTTTTATTAACTTACTTGTATATTGTCTAATGTCAACCACATTATATTATCATCGATATTTTCATCGATGTTAGCACTAACAGTTGCATAATATTGCATACATTCTAATGATCCAACCCAGGTTGTTTTTGATACTAAAGTTCTTTCTTTCCATACAGGTTGATGTATTCTTTGTAATATTTCTGCTTTTGCCGCAGATAAAATTACGTAACCTCGTGTTTCAATACCTTTCAATAATACTTGACTGTTCACTAAAGCAACTAAAAAAAAAACAATTTTTTCTTTTTTTTTATTCTATATATATAAATATACAATCAATAAAAAAAGTATTTAAATCCTACATTTCAATGAATTTTATTTTATTTCTAATTTTATTAATTTTAATTTTATTGAAAGTTTCTATATACATATATAACATAAAATAAAATTCTTTATAATATAAGATTCGAATATTTGTATTTATATTGAAATTATATGAAAGCGAATAATAATAAAATGCATATATTTATATACATATATTATAAATATATACATACTTTAAGTTCATACATACTTAGCCAATTTTTATGAAGAACGTCATCTTGATGACAAGCTGCTAATCCACGCAATTGTTGACCTCTCGTTTGTACCGATAGATCATCGCTGAATGCGACTGGTTTATTTGCAGCTTCAGCTATTAATCTCTGTAACATACCAACAGCTTCTCCCTGTTGTGGTTTTGTTGAAGACGATGTGTTCACTTGAGTTGCTGCATTTTGTACTTCAATCGATCTTGTTCGATTTTTATGTGGTGTTGATGAACTTTCCCTGTGAAAGCCTTTCAAAGCTGCAGTAGAAAGATTTTTCTTGAGTTGCTGAGTTTTTATAAAAGAATCAAAGAGTGCAAATGCCACATCTCTATTCGTTTTCGTCCAAGCTCCTTTCAAGTCGTGTACAACAAGTCTGTGTGTAGGAGTATCTCCTCCAGTGACTCCAGTCACCATTGCTTCTCTACCATAACTGACACGAGCAACGCTTAAACAATAACATTTTTCAACCGGTTGTCGAAGAGAAGCGCTTTCCTTGTCCTCATGAAGAGCACTTTTTAACCAAATTTCTGCATCGCTAAGTTCACAGTTCATGTACACTACTGACCATTCAGCTCTAGGTCGATGTATTAATCCATCATCAATCGGATGCAACGACAAATTATGCTCACAACTACATACTACTCTTCCGCCAGTTACTTCGAATCCGCGTTGCATGGCGAATGACATCCAATAGCTAACATGAAATTGATGGAAAGCTAAAGTTAATCGAACTTTCCTATAATGTCTGCTCAATTGTTTCTTTCTAGGTCTAATATTCTTAAAAAGTGGTCCTTTTCTAGTTGGTCTCGTTGCTCCAGACAAAATAAATTTTAGATTTTCGAACCATCTAAGAGTGCTACCATATAGTAAGGCAGTTGGTGCGCTTGCCAATGCCGGAGATCCAGTTGGTTTCGTTTCGAGTGAAAGACTAACATTTAAATTTTGTGAACGAAATGCTCTAAATGAATCATGTTCTTGATTGCTCGAATATTCTGGTAATCTATCTGGAGCGCAAGGTATCGCAGCATGATGGTCTCTAGGATCGCCTAAGCAAACCCATGCTAATTTTATGCTTAAACGTACGTTCGGTAAATGTAATAATCTACAATCATCATATTTACTAGCTGTACGAACATAAACATCTAAATCTCCTTTTACAATAATTCTGCCTTGTGTCCAATCGAGTTCCAATCCTGTCCATGTAAGCTCCATTTCTTCTGTAGTGTTGTATGGATCTAATGAGCCATGTAATAGAACTGTTAACTGTTTCACACAAAGTGTTAATCTTCCATGAAGGGCTAATCGCATTTTGTCCCAAAATGGTAATGGGGGACTTGGATCTCGTGATGGATGAATAATTTTCTCAAAACTAAGATTACATTGTGCTATCACAGGTTCCCAACAAGGACCAAATGCATATCTGAACTTATCGATATCCCAATTAAGATCATGGTAATATTTCAATGATGTCATTCCTCTTTCTATAACAATGTCTTCCCAAGGTGTACCAATTTCGATTCTTACAGTTCGTCTAGCTCTCGATGGTGCTAAAGCCTCTGCCCCAGCTAATCTACCCCATACACTTAAACTTTCCACTAAGAGTAATGGTTGGGGAAAGTCTCGTAATTGTAATTTCCATTCAGCACACTTTAAACTGATTCCTCTTACCCATAAAGTATTAAATTCAAGACCATCCTC